AAGTCTTATTGCTTGATTATGGGTCTGATTTCAAACTATATACATTAGGAAATAAGGACTAGCACTTAATTCAGCACACTGTGCCTAGGCATATTATAAAATGTATCATTCTCAGATATATGACAAGACAATGCGGAAAGTAAAGCCATTCCATTGCAGAGAATGACCCAACAGCATTTTGAAACTGGGGGAAATGGAGGGAGACACTGCTTTATTTTATAAAACCACAAAACTGCTAAACAAATTAAAGCCATTTTAGGAAAAATAAGTGAATCCTAGCAACTAGTTCACAAAGAGCCCAATGATACTCACCCAAGTCCTCGGCTAGCCACCGAACCATCTTTCCTCTACTTACAAATAATGAATTCATTCCCAGAAAGTTGGGATGAGTTTACAACTGATTAGCTACCCAACAAGGGCTAAATTCAAAATGGATAGTTCAACCAATTCTAATTTACTTATTAATTTAATTTACATGTGGCCTGATTTTCAGAAGTGCAGCTGTCTTCAATATCAGCTGCTAGAGATGTGAATCTCTGCAAATAAGGCCAGAAGTATCTTTACATAGTGGTCCAGCTGTTGGAAGGAATGCAGAATATTGTAGGAGATCCCTGTTGATCACTTGACTTTCCAATTAGTGCCAGTCCCACAGAAGTACTGAACACACATCTGCTAAGATCTCCTCTAAACACACTCTTTGGAAAGAAGTAATATTGCCACTACTACACCCTGAGAAGCACAGTTTGGAAGACATATGGTGGAGGTCTCACATAGCCAGTAGGAAAAATTATAGACGATAATTTTTCTAACATCAAAAGTATTGCATCCGATATAAGGTAACTATTTTGGACTTCTTTATGATAAATTAATCACTGGACTGGAAGTTTGCGGTTGCCTAGGAACCAGTGATGATGGCCTGATTGCATTCAATATGGGCAAACAGAGGACAGTTCCAACCAGAAATACACACACTCATGATGCTTCAAAAGGAAAATTTGGGCAGAAATGACTGAGAGAACAAATTTAGACAGAAATGTGAATGAAAATTGGGAACTCTTTAAGACGAGTTTATCAGATGGCCAAAAAGCCATAATTCCAAAATCAAGAAAGAGGAAAACTTTGTCTACAAGCCCAACCTGGTTCAGTGGCAAAGTGAAGGCTGCAATTAGAAATAAAAAAACCAAAATATAACAAATGGGGAAAAAGAAGAAAGATAGCATCAATATGAATCAGAAGTTATAGGGCGCAGAACAATGATAAGGGAAGCTAAAGACAACAGGGAAAATCCAGGGCTGGCAGGGCAAAAGCCAATAAAAGGGAGTTTAAGTATATTAGGAACAAAAGAAATCCTAATAATGGTATAGACCCATTGCTATATGGAAAGGGTAAGATTGTTAATAATGACACAGAAAAGGCAGAAGTGCTCAATAAATATTTTTGTTCTATATTTGGAAAGAAGGAGGATGATATACTAATGACAATGATGAAGAACCTTCCAGACCATTATCAGCTAAGGAGTAGAGCTTGTCAGCACAATTCTAGCAAAACAATCCCTCCTCAGAATTTGCTTGTGCAACAAAATTGGAACTTTTCCAGAGACAGTCTAATTTTGCCAAAGTTCTGATGGAACTCAGCCAAAAAATGAAACCAAATTTCCCAATCAGAATTAAACCAAATTTCAAAATATTGAAATCCTCTTCAAAACAGAATTCCCTTCTCCCACACATCTCTAGTGAAGAGGATGTTAGACAACCTCTACTAGGGATAAAAGTTTTAAAATTAGCAGGCCCTAGATAACCATGCACCCAAGTGTCCTAAAAGAGCTAGCTGAGAAGATCTCTAGACCGCTGATGTAAATTTTTAATAAATATTGGAATACCAGGAAAATTCCGTAAGATTGGAAGAGTGCTAATAATGTGCCAATATTCAAAAAAGGCAAACAGGGTGATCCAGGTAACCAGATGCTGGATAGCCTAATATACATCCCAAGCAAAACAATAGAAAAGCTGATATGGGATTCAATTGAAAAAGAATTAAAATATATGAATATAATTAATGCTAGTCAACAGGGTTTATGAAAAATAGCCCTGATTTCATTCTTTGATGGGACTGCAAGTTTGGTTGCTAAAGATAACTGCAATAAAGTTATCTAATATAGTTGCATGCTTATATCAATCTAGATATATAGATATAGTAATAGTTATATAAAATTAGTTTAAACTACTGTAAAACAGTGGGCTTAGTACTACCTGACATTCTGATTAAAAATTAGCATATGTAATATCAAGAAAACAAACGTTAAGCAGATTAAGAACTAGCTAACTGGCAGATCTCAAAAAGTAGTCATCAAAGGGAAATAATTATTGAAGAGGGGTATTTCTAGTGGGGTTCTTCAGAGATTGGGATTAAGTCCAATGCTATTCAACATTTTAATCAATGACCTGGAAGTAAATATCAAATCACTGTTGATAAAATCTGTAGATGACAAAGATTGGAGGAGTGGTAATAATGATGAGGACAGGGCAGTCATACAGAGCGACGTGGATCACTTGGGCCCATTCAAACAAAATACACTTTAATACAGACAAATGAAAAGTTGTACATCTAGGTACTATGGTGATCACCTGTACTACATTAGGAAGGACAGTCCTGAAATGCAGAGTCCCAGTCCCAGGCTGAATGACTCCAGGACAATGTTTGTCCCGGATTACCTGTGGCACTGTTCCACGGCTGCCCAAAGCTCAGGGGCAGCGCCAGCCTCTTCCTGGAGGGGGAGCTGAGGTGGGCCTTAGCCCCCCATCGCCACAAGGCCCTACTAAGTACAAGGAATGATCATAGCCCAGGGCAGGTGAAGGGTCCAGGGCTCCCCACAGTGGTCTGGGCTCCCTGGGCTGCTTTTACCACAGCCCAGCTCAGAGTTCTGGCCTGGCCAGGGGGCAAGGCCTCAGGGGAAAGAGAAGAAGCAGAGGGTGAGGCCTTGGGGAAGAGGAGGAGCAGGGGTGTGGCCACAACAGGGGCAAGGCGCCTGCATGTGTCCCACTTCTGCCTTTTGAAAAGGTGGTCACCCTCCTAGGTACAAGGCATGCAGGCCATACCTACAGAATGGGGACTGTATCCTGAAAGCAGAGTATCTGAGAAGGATTTATGGGTTAGAATAGCTGGTGTGCTGAGACCACAGCCTGCTATGCCAGCCAATATTCTCTCTGTTTCCTTGTACTTCCTTGCTGGTCAGTCTATATCCATCTGTTGTTTCTTGTCTTATTCTTAGATTATAACCTTTTGGGGCAAGAACCATCTTCGTTCTCTGTTTGTACAGCGCCTAACACAATAGGGTCCTGTTCCATGACTGGGGCTCCTAGGCACTATGATCATTCAAATAAATAAAATAATAATAATAAATAGCATGCACTCCCAATGCGATGGTATGGCAAAAAGGGCTAATGTGATCCTTCCATTATAAACAAGGGAGCAGTGAGTAAAAGTAGGGGCATTGGTGAGAATGGAATACTGCATACAATTCTATTTTAAAAAGAATGTTGTACAATTGTAGAGGATGCAGAAAAGAGCCATAAAAATGATTTGAGGGCTGCAGAAAATACCAGTGAGAGACTTAAGAAGATCAAAAAGATTGAAAGGTGACTTGATTACACAGTTTAAGTACCTTTACGGGGAGAAAATACCGTGTACTAAAGGGCTCAAATCTAGCAGAGAAAGCCATAATGGGAACCAATGGCTGGAAACTGAAGCCAGACAAATTCAAGTCAGAAATTAGGCACCAATTTTTAACAGTGAGGTGGATTAATTACTGGAACGAACTACAAAGGGAAGTGGTGGATTCTTGATGTTTATAAATCAAAACTGGGTACATTTCTGGAAAATATGCTTTAGTCACACAAGTTATTGGGCTCGCTACAGGGGTGAAATTTAGTAGCCTGCAATATACAGGTTAGATTAGATAACCTGATGGTCTCTTCTGGCCTTAAACTCTATGAATCTCACTGTGAATCCCAGAGAAAGAATGATGTAGCTGAAGCTAGCAAAGAGTGGAAAAGGTGTTATGAAAAACAGAATCAAGAGTGGAAAAAGCATTGTTAACAAATAAAATGTGCATTTAATAAATTCCTCGTATATCAACATTGGTCCAACAGGATTTCATCCTACACAGCCAGGCATGAGCTAACTTAGTCAAGTTTTACCCCTTTAACTTTACCATACACGTATGAAACAGAGGAAAGATTAGAGGACAGTGGAAAAGGATAAGATTAAGGAACTAAAATTCTTCTTTTCTATTACAGAGTATCACTCCTGCTATATCAAGCAGTCAGCTGAACAGTATTCCTTGGGGGCTGGGGTTGGGGAAGGGAGCACAGACGGGTGGCGTAGACTAGCTCTTTTGAAGGAGGAAACCAAAAAAAAAACCTTTTAAGGTGGTCACTAATTTGGTTAAGTTTTGTCACTAAAGGTCCACCTGCTGCAACGAACAATCCTACACCATCACTTCTGACAGTACAAACCCATGTCTCACCAGCAGCTCAACCCTCAGTTTGAATGCCAACCGAATAATAGTTATAACTTGTTAGTAAACAGCTCACTCAAAGACTGTTAATGTCAATCAAATTCTCAACTCATCAAAACAACTATAATACCTTCAAGTGATTTTCAAACACCAGGTTTACAAATGTTTGCTGTTAAAAAGCCCTGGGCCAAGTTCTGCCCACACACACACACACACACACACACAAACAATTCCCAGTGAAGATAAAAGGAGATGAGTGTATGCCCCTGGTGGCAGAATTTGGCAATATACATGTACAATGGCAGCAAGAAAAAAAGTGACATCCCCTTAACTAGGAAGACAGACATGGAATGATAGTGCCATGATAGGCTGTACATATAGTTTGGAAACAAAAGTAATGTTTAAACAGCCTGGCAGAGAGCATTACCAGTAAATCTAATCATGCAAAAAGTGACTGTGCAGAATATAATGGGTTGTACATTACCCAAGAGACCTGCTAGTGACCGCATGTCTTTCTCCATCAGCTTGTATATCTCTTCCTCCGAGAAGCGGCCGATGCCATGGCCGTACATTTCTCGTTTCACAATTCCTTTTGTTAGGTGGCACAGAATCCACTTCAGCAGGTCACTAAAGGGGCCACTGCACGAAAGCATCTTCTGGGTCTCGTGGAGATTGTCCACCCACTGGCAATAAGCTAATGTCCTAGAATGTGGTGAAAACAAGTTACAACTGTGCAGCACATTGACCCCCCAACACCTCTACAAAGTAGCCCGCAAAAGGGTTTGATGAAGAGCTTGCGTAAGTCTTGAGGACCTGAGGATTATTGGCCTGATGGAAAGCTAGCTCTGTGGTAAAATATACATCTTGGTATGAATGTGGAATATCACCCAGAATACTAAATGTTGGCCTTCGTTCTGAAGCACTTGTTCACACTGCATAGCACTTAGTTATGCAAGTAGTCCCACTGAGATCATTGAAATTCAGGGGAGTAAGTACTACTCAACAGAAATAAGGGTTGCAGATCCGGGCCTTAGATTATCACAGCAAAGTGTTGTGCAAACCGGATCTGGTGTTAATAAAAGACTGATACACATTAGACAAACCTTTCCTACCTATCCATTCCCTTTGGCTTATGCTTTATTTATACTTTGTCTAAGAAGTGACTCTATGCACTGCTGAAGCCTGCCAAATGAATAATTTTGCTGCAAATATGATGATTCTTGTAATAGATATTTCTTTCAGAGGCCTCCACTCTCCCCTGAAATGTATTATGGTTTATGGTTTAAACAGAAAAATAATTCATTTAAGAGATTTATGCTTTGTCAGATTGGTTTTATTTTGTATTTTATCCTCCTATGAAGTGAAGGTTTACCCTGAATGAGATATTTTTTCAAAGGGACTTTGCTGTATTTCAATCTGTATGTTTGGTTGTTTGAATGGAAGATGTATTCTTTTAAAAGGAGTCTTTATTAAATTTGCTTTGCCAGTCAAAAATCTCCCAGTTCTCACTTGAATTGCTGGTCTTTATTACTCTTCCAACAGGTTAAAGAGAATTTCAGTTTTTTGCTGAAGAAGCTTGTGAGAAAAGGAACAATTAATTTGGAAAGTGACAGTCGTAAGTAATATTGAACAGTTCACCTCTCCCATTGAAGGCAATAGGATTATTGTCACCAACTTCAGTGGGAGCAGGAGCAGGGAGTTTAAAAGAGTTATCCATCAGAGGAGGAGGTGGGAAAAGCAGATGCAGCCTCGGGTGTCTGGGAAATGCAGGGTGTTTATGACAATATGTGCCGAGTATTCTGAGTAATTTCCAAACTGGAAAATATAAAATCAGCTTAAACATTTGTGGTCATGTTGGAAGCTGGTTGATGGAGGCACAACAGCCTCGTACAGTTAGTTAGAAACATTGAAATATCACATAGTGTAGAATACTATCTACAGGTTAACTGTTCCACTGTATTGGGATTTTCCAGCAAAAGTCACCAGAACCCAGTTTTTCCTGTTCTGAACATGACTTCAGTTTATCATTGTACATAGTTCTAAGCCTGTGGGATTTCCTCATTGTACATACTGATTAACTAATACAAGAGAGAGAATGAGCAAAATCCTTTTGGGGACTCCTATACATTTTCTTTCATATCATCACAAATTTCTGCAACCCAGACAGAAGCAGAGTTCAATATTCCCCTGACACTACACCTACTTTCTCACTAGGGTCCATTTCTAATCTCTTTAGGAAACAGCTCACAAATTCTTCACTTTAATGACTCTATTAACATGTAGTAAAAAGTCACCAAGGATATTTCTTGCTAAGAGTAAAAGGAGGATATTTGGCTTAATAGCCAAGCAAGTTGTAATAAAAGCCCAAGTTATACAATACTCTCAGAACTGAGCACCCAGAGACACTTTCAATTAATCAAATTAAAATTAATTCAGTGAATTAATATTTATATTTAAGTATTCTGAGAGCTGGTGTACTAAAGGCACGGCAAGTTTTTTAATTTGAAATTGATTTAGGTAAGTCAGTTTTAAAAAAACAAGGTGGGTGAGGTAATATCTTGTATTGGGCCAACTTCTGTTGGCAAGAGAGACAAGCATCTGAGCCAGGTCTGGGAAAGGTACTAAGAGTGTCACAGCTAAATACAAGATCAAACAGATAGTTTAGCATCAGTAATTAGTACATATTCTAAGGGACCATCCCAGGTGACCCATTAATACCCTGTAGTCATAGGACAAAAAGGGAGGTTAATGGGTTATAGATTGTTGAAATGGGCCATATTGAGACTGGGATTTTTTAGCATCTAGCAAAGATATGAATTTAAGCTCCCAGGATTGTCTTTTGAGAGTGTTCTGCAAGTTTCCTTTCAGGATGAGGACTGAGAAGTCAGATATAGAGTGATCACTCTGTGAAAAGCATTCACCAATAGATGATATGATGTTTTTGTCTTTTACCATTTTCCTGTACGAGTTCATTCGAGAACATAGTGATTGTCTGGTTTCACCCACATAGTTGTTATTGGGGCATTCAGTGCACTGGATGAGGTACACCACATGTTGTGATAGGCATGTGTAGGATCCATGGATCTTGAAAGATGTGTTGTGGGGGCGTGTTGATCACTGTAGTAGGGGAGATATGTCTGCAGATTTTGCATCTGGTGTTCTGGCAGGATCTGGTGCCACTTTGAGTTGGTGTGTTTTGGTCTGTGTGGAGCTTGCTTCGGATTATGAGCTGGGAAGATTGGGGGGTTGTTTGAAGACCAGAAGAGGGGATTCAAGAAAGATTTATTTCAGGGTGGGATTCCCATTGAGTATGGTTTGTAGTTGTTGGATGATACCCCCTATGGGCTCCAGTTTGGGGTGGTAGGTGACAACTAGGGGTGTGTGGTCGAAGGGAGTCTTATTGCTGTATTGAAGCAGGTTCCCTCAGGGTGTTTGGGTGGCCTGTTCCATAATGTGATCTACTTCTCTGGTGGAGTGTCCTTGTTTGGTGAAGGCAGTTTTGTGTGTGTTAAACTGTATATCCCAGACTTTCTCCTCAGAGCATATTCTGTGGTACCTGAGTGTCTGACTGTAGATAATAGGATTTCTTGGTGTGTTTGAGGTGGTCACTGGATCTATGAAGGCAGATGTGATAATCCATAGGTTTCTTATATATAGTTGTTTATAAGATTCCATTGCTGAAGCTGATTGTGGTATCCAGGAAGTTGATGCTTGTGTGGGAGTGTTCGCAAGAGAGTTTAATGGATGGGTGGTGGTTGCTGAAGTTGTGGTGTAAATATATGAGGGAGTTTAAGTCGTCTGTCCAGAGTCCCTAAAATCTAACCACAATAATGATCAAACCATCAGACAAAGGGGGTGCCATCATAGTCCTCAACCGTGATGACTACGTTAACAAGGCCAACTGACAACTCTCTGACACTACCTATTATAAGGAACTTAAAGAAGACCTCTACAACACAATTTACCCAGGAATTTAAGGATATCATCAAATCCTTTCCCAAACAAATTCAAGAGAAACTCTACAAACTCATCCCCCATGAACCCAAACCAGGGACCTTCTACATGCTTCCCAAGATACAAAAACAAGGAACCCAGGCAGACCTATCTGGCCACAGCACTCTTACTGAAGGAATATTGGGACTCATAGAAACCATCCTCAACCGCCTCACCACACAAAGGGACAGCTTCCTCCAGGACACAACCGACTTCCTCCACAAACTCCACAACATTAACAACCTCCCTCAGCACACCCTCTTTGCCACCATAGATGTCACCTCCCTATACACCAATATCCCTCACAATGATGGCATAGCTGCCTGCCTCGAATATTTACAAAACAAATGACAACCCTCAGATATCCACCCCAAACACATTGCTAAACTCATCCATTTCATCCTCACCCATAACAATTTTACATTCAGCAACAAACACTTTGTCCAAACGATGGGAAAAACCAGAGGTACTAGAGTGGCTCCCCAATACGCCAACCTCTTCATGGGCCACCTGGAGAAGAATTTTGGGACAAATGCACCAATGATATACCTGAGATACATCAATGATATTTTCATCCTCTGGATAAATGACTTAAACTCCCTCATAGATTTCCATCACAACTTCAACACCCAACACCTGTCCATTAAACTCTCACTGGAACTAAATATTTCCCTGAGTCTCACTTACTGATTGTGGAGCAGTACTGAGAACTGGTTGGTTCAGGAAAGGACAAACACAATATAAAGATTGCCGATATGGATATTAATCAGGTGAAAGTACAATAGGGGTGGACCCAGATGATCCATTAAAGGCCTAATTTTCATGAACAGCCTCAGACTTGTGACACTTTGTATGGATGCTTTGGGGGATCAGGTGCCCCAAAACTCAAATTTGGGCCGGCAAAGGAGGTAACTAAATAGCCAACTACCTGATCTGTTCACACAAAGCCATGATTTGAGCACGCAGAAATGTGTGTGCCAACAAATTTAGAGGCTGGGTTAAGGCAACTGAAAATTGGCCCTACCCAGGGTCTTATCAAAGTATGTTATTGTTACACAGCTTGATAAACTGATTTATCTGTACTTACTACCAATACCTATTCATTTTATATCTGTAATATTAGAATGGTGAAACTTGCTTAAAGCTGAGCACTAATTCACACTTCATGTTAGCAAACACATCTGTTGCACACAATGGGCCTCAGCTCACACTGTCACTCAAGCTGACTATTTCATTGACTCCTAATAGGCCTGTTGGGCCAATCATAAGAACTACCAGGGATCAACAGTGGATGTCCTGAAGATCCAGAAAAGAGTCATTAAGGAGAGTACTGGGAGCAATCATACCACTGTAGCTCAAGGCCAGTTCCTCCCCCACACCCCAGGCATGAGTATCTTTATAAAAGGCCTCTCTGAACTCCGGACCTTTAGGAAACACTGTAAGATGATCTATTTTCTCAGGCATCGGGAGAGGGGTGAGTAGTGTCATCAGCTGGTTGTTTATTTGGTTGCATGGGTCTAGGCTGTTATACACTGGCGTTAAGTAGGTGTGTGATCTGTGTATTTTTGAAACTTACTAGTGCCTCAGATAGGCACTCCTGTACAAATCTTTGGATTATTATTTCATTAATGTCCTTTGAATAGGAATGGTCCCAGGAACTAGCATATCTGAAACAAAGACATAGGTAATTACTTTAGTCTCAATGCATAAGTTAGGAATGGGAGCAGGTAGAGAGAGTCACCAGAAGTGGCTAGCTTGCATTGCCCCCTTACTGTTGGAAACTAATTGAGAACTTATGCAAAGCAAGAGATAGGTGTTCACAAAGGTGAAGTAAGAGGGTGGCTCCTTAGCATGAAGAAAGTAGGAGACCATTAGGGACAGATCCTCAGCTGGTGTACATCACTGATGCTCAAGGTTCTTCGATGGAACTATGATAGCTTGCACCAGGTGAGGATCTGATCCTTAGATTTTGTCTAGTTTAGGCAAATAGTTGAGATCGTTCTGGGTAAACAAGCACATTCCTAACGTATTAACCAACCCCAACCTAATCTCAACCTCTCTTCCTAATCTAGATTATCCCTTAGAAAGCAGCAAGGAGACAGATTCCATTTCAAAGAGACAAAAGACTTCTCCTGTAGACCCAGCAGGAACCATGACAGCTATGTTGGTAATTCATAGCTAAAATTTCTGAATGCCATGAGTAATATTCCTTTCCTTTCCCTTAATTAGGAACCTTTGCAAGACCCCCAGAGAACAGACTGTGTAAAGAAGCTAACATATAAATTCCTAGTTTCTGACTGTACCATAACTTTAAGGTAATTTTTGTTTAATCTAATCTGGATTGACATTGACTATTCTAGCAGGGGACATATCAACTGACTGAGACCATTTTTGAAGCCCAATTTAAATCTGACCTCAGCCTAGAAGGCAGGTGGCAGATCTCTGTTCAAATCTCTCTCATCAGGTGAAGGTGGGACTTGAACCAGGGGTCTCCCACATCCAAGGTGAGTACCCTAGCCACTGAGCTAAAAGTTGTAAGAGAGGTCCTCCTCCTTCCCCTAGTTTCTTGTGGAAATGCTGTAGGCGCTTAACTGCAAATAGGGTTCCCAGATGTGAATTGCTAGTAGAGATACACACGTCCCTACAACCTAGACTTAAGCACCTATCTCAATGAGAGGAGTGGGGCCCTCTCGTCGGCGCCCTGCCTAGCCTGCTAGATTTTGGGAATCACAGTGTAAGGTGCCTCTCTCTCCCCGTTCAGTGTCTTGGAGTCTAGGCACCTAACTCGGGCTTTGTGATTCACAGTGTGTTCCTGTGATTTTCTAAGCATCTAAAAGTTCAGCATTGTGACGCTCAGTGTCACAACACCTACGTACGTTGGTGAACCTTGGCCCAAGTGCCTTCAACTGCCATTGAAGTCAATAGTTCAGATCTTGAGAAGCATCAAGCATGTGCAACGCCCACTGAAGACACCTGGAGTTCCAGGTGCTCAGCAGCTCCTCTCAGCAGCTGGCCCAGTAGGAGTGGAACACCTCAGCAGGAGGCACTCAGCCCCAGGCAGGATGGGGCCCATATTTAAAAAAAAAATAAGCAAGAATAAGACATCACAAAATGTACTTTGCTCATTTATTTGACAAGCGTAGTTTAATTGTAATTATTTATGACAAGGCTCCCCAAAATGTGAATCGGTGTTCTGTCATACATATTTTTAATGCAATGAAGTCATAATAGGAACCCTCACTTTGCTTTTAAGGGCCTTACTCAACCAGTAGCCTCACTGATGTCACAAGCAGCATCCTACATTTGTCAGGGTTGCTGTGTCTAGTCCCAAATCTTTGCTGGTGAGTGGGCAGACTCTCATTTTTGTGAGTGTGAGCGTAACCATTAACAACAGGAGATTTAGTGAGGTTCTATCCCATATTATGGTTTATGGGCTTTTAAATGACTTCAGGTCACTCTACCACCAGACAGACAAAGAGAGAAATCCTTCGAGTTGAACGTTAGACCTTACTTTCCTCAGTCAACAATACTGCATCCCATTACTGATAGTGGAAGAATAACAACAACATTCTATTAAATGAAGAGGACTGTGCAAATATATATATAGTTTTCAATTAATTCAAAATATTGCATTCCTGTCACCTATTAATCCCAAAAGCTGGATTTTTTTCTCTCCCTTTTGGCAATCACAAATGTATTAAACAGTCTCAAATTTAGCCTATTATTAATCAGCCCAATCCTGCAGTTATTTCTCATGTGCCACTGAAGTAGTATATGTGAAAGGACTGCATATGCATTAGTAGTATATGTGAAGGAGCCTGTTGTTGCTCCTCTTTATAAACTTGCAGATGGGCAAAGGGCCTGATTCTGAACTTCATTTGCAATGGCTTTACACCCCCCAGTGGTGTTTACTCCTGATTCACACTGGCACAAGTAAGAACAGAAAGAGACACCAATACTCCAAGAGTGAAAAGAATTGTGGAACTGACAGCTCGGTTCTGAGTTATTTGAAAGACAAAGCAAGCATTCATTTCCAGATAAAATGTGCAGCGGCAGGTTTGATAAGATCAGAACAGAACTAGCTTTACCATGCAAGCTTACCAATAGAAGTGCTCCTCCACCATTTTTGTCACTGCTCTGGAAACAGCTCTTTCATGTGGACCAAGGTTTTTATTTAAATTCACTCCGAGTTTCTCTTCCAAAAAGTCAATAATGAACTCAGTGCCAGATACTTTTTTGCGATTGTATTCAATCCAGGGCATTTTCCCTTGAGGGGAAAGTTTTCCATCAAAATAGTTCTAAGAAAAGAAGCAAGTAAACAAAAACAAAAAAACAAACACACACAAAAAACACCCTTCAGCTTCTGTTTGATCAGTATAAAGTTTTCTTTAAAAGGTGCCAATACCCAAAGCATAAAATCAATATCCTCCATAAAGTAACTATCAAACTAGAGCGACAACCTTACTCTAAATGGAAATGCAAAAACCTATTTCCAGCATAAGTAATTCCTAGCCAAAAGAATGTACCCATCATTGTTTTTCTTTTGTTTGGTTTTTTAATGCAAAGCAATGGGACCAGTCCTGAAAGGTGTTATGTGCCTTTGATGCCTTCTATGGTGTGATTTAATGTTAATTATTTAATTAAAGGCCAGTGGGGATAGAAGCACTCAGAACTCCACAGGGTCAGGCCCAATATTCTGGACAATTTTGCATCATAGACAAAATAACAATAATATTTGGTACTTATTCACAGTAGCATTCTTCATCTGAAAAGCACTTCTTGGGTTTTTTACCCACAAAAGCTTATGCCCAAATAAATCTGTTAGTCTTTAAGGTGCCACCAGACTCCTCGTTTTTGTGGATACAGACTAACACGGCTACCCCTCTGATACCTAACTAATGAAATATCTCAGTAGCCCTGAAAGGCAAATGTGGCTAATCTGCGCACCCACTAATCCACACCGAAAGTGGATGCAGGAAGGAAAGTGGGAACAGGAAGGACCTAGACTCAACTTTAAGCTCAGATGAGGAAACCCCAATGGCATGTACTCCTGCCTTCTTTCAGGCCTTTAACGAGCAGCCAGGCCCAAGCGATGGAATGATATGTCACTCCCTCATTGGAGAGGGAAAGTATGTCTTTGCCTATAATCCTGGCATTTCCTGGTCTGCGACCTCACTCATCTGCAGCCAAGGTCCCTGCAATCAGATCCACAAGAGCCCATCACCTGTGTGGAGTCCCATTAAAGTTAGCAGGTCTCTGCACCTAAGTATTTATCCCCATTTTACAGATGGGGAAGCTGAAGCAGAGAGATCAAGCAGGGAATGAGTCAGGAGTAAAACAGGAATTCCTGGCTTCCAGTCATGTAATTAGATCATTAGACCATAATTCTCTTTAATTACAAGTCTGCTTATTCCTAAAAGCACAGGTATGAGCTACTTACTGTATTCTTGTTCTTTTATTTCCTTTATTTAAAAGGACACTCAACAATGTTAACTATTCTTGTGATTTTACAGCAAGTCTCATGATACTTGGTGTTCTTCTTAAAGACCCAGCTCCTTTTTTATGTTATTACATAAAAATCTCAGCTTCCGTTTAAAGATATCCTTCATGGCGAAAAGCTCAAAAATGTGAACCCTAAAGGCTCAAAATGAGAAGCCAAATAAAAAAACTCAAATTTATTATTTTTTAAAATGTTATGATTTTAAGCCAATTATTTTGGGTGTGTGACTCATGATTTTTGAAGGTTTGGGGTTGGCAATACAATGTCAACCTGTTTAGGCCTCAAAAATTTAACTTCCAGAACTCCACTAAGGTGGAAGATAGACAAACACATAGCACACTGTGTGGCAATGGAGATTCAGCAGGAGATCCTCGTTAGATGGCTACATTTAATAATGTTCATGCTGCTGCAGATACACTCTATTTTTAGCACTCTAGTTTGATCAGAGCTAGCGCGGGTGTGTCTTCTCGAGCTAAGAATTACACCCCAGCTCAAAGCGTAGACATATCCTGAGGTGCTAAGGTGCATCTGTGGGTAGCACCAGACTCCTAGTAGGATGGTAAAAAGAGAATCCTTGCTGCTTCAGACAGTAGAGTTGCTTCTGCAGCTCAAAGGTACAGTGCCAGCTGAGGAGATAAAACTAGATCTTCAAAAGCACTCAGTGTTGGCCTCACTCTGTTCCCACTGAAGTCAACAGCAAAACTCCTATTATCCCCAGTCATGCTTAAAAGAAGGTTCCCTCTTGCAGAGCAGCCATGGTGTTAGCATGATTCAGCGACAGCTAACACATGGTTAGGTCCCATCAGCACTGCAAGAAAAAAATGGTACTTTAACCATAAGACAAACTGGGAGATAGCTGTATTATTTTTATGAACATGGTACACGCCTCTCTGCGTTTGTCTATGAAGGGTACTTGGCTATGGAGTTAGATAAAAAAGGGTTGTTAGAAGAACCAAGAAGGAAAGGTAAAACAATGAAACAGATAGGAGACCTAGAGGAAACAATGGAAAAAGCTGAGCACAGCCTGAGAATAGTTTATTCTTTCCAAGGCTAAATCTAGGATCAGAAGGAGGATACCAAATATTAGAGGACCGTGGGCCTAGAAAAGGGCTGGGGTTCAGTGAGTGGCCAGACACTGCCCAGGAAGTGTCAGTGAGAGCTGGCAAGGAAAGGGAGAGAGAGAGACTGCTGTGAGCAATCTGTTTCTCCCAGCCAGAGATGGGGATTAGCTGGATTGAGGGACATTTGGCAAGTTGGCCAGAAAAGTTGGCAACAAAAGTTGGCAAGAAAAGATTAAGACGTAAGTAAGAACGAGGCATACAGGCCTTTTATTGTTTGTACCCTTCGCTCTACATGCTTTCTACCTTTGGGGGAAGGAATAAATACAGCTTTGTTTTGAAGATGCTGATTCTGAGTCACTTTAATCAACTTGCTGGTCACGGTTCCCAGAAAGAAAAGGCTGGCATGTGCCAATGCAGTTGGGCCTGTTGGATTGGCACAGTGGGGAAAAGGGGGCTACACCCCATAGATCCCATCTAAGAGTGGTTGGACTACATGATTCCACCCAGAGTGAGGTGCAGGGAGCCAGGCCTGTCACCCACTGGGTACACTCAAGAGGTACTAGAAGGCATCTAAGGCACATTTTCCCTGTAACTATAACAGACCATGTCAGGAGACAACCATGGTCTAACTCGGTCCCTCCAGCACTGCTGGTTTTACAATGTTTATGGGACCCAACAAAGTACAGTGCTTTAATTTACACTGGGAAAGGAGGCCTCTAAAACCTGTGGGGCTAGAATCTTTCTTTCCTTGTAAATAAACGATTAGATTTGGGGAGGAGGAGCAGAGGGAGACCAAAAATCTCTAAACCTAAATCCTCAAACCCCTTAGAAGTTCGTATGCCGGCAGTCAGATTTCCATTGTCTCAGCCAGTGAGATTGTTGGACAGCTCCCTGCCACTACATTTATAAGGAAGCTGCCCCAATCAGCATCTTGTGAAACACAAGGAAGGTAGGTTCCTCCAGGGCCAGCAGCAAAGACTATGTTAGCTGAAAGGTCTGTCTTTGTCCCTTCCTGTCAAGAGTTTAGCTGGGATAAATTCTGCCTTTAAACCCCATGCAGCCCCATAAACTTCAACCCCAGGGACTGAACATTAAGCAATTTGGGGGTCATGGTAGAAAATTTCCCCTCCTGATTAAACTTTTTAAAAGTTTATTAAGACTTCAACTAGGTTTCCAAGTAACCTGCAGCCCCTACAGTAACATCTATTCCAGCAGGCCCAGATACACAATGCACAGGGGAGATTTAGGGTATGTTTACACAGCAATTAAACACCCACAGCTGGCCCAGGTCTGCTGACTTGGGCTTGCAGGGCTCAGGCGGCAGGAATGTAAGATTGTGGTGTAGAGGTTTGGGCTCAGGCTGGAGCTCAAGCTCTGGGACCTGCAAGGGGGGATGGTCCCAGAGCTTGGGCTCCAGCCCAAGCCCAAATGTCTACAATGCAGTTTGACAGCCCCATGATCCTAAGTCAGCTGTGGATGAGGGGAAAGCAGTGGAGGTGTTATTCCTTGACTTTAGCAAAGCTTTTGATATGGTTCCCCACAGTATTCTTGCCAGTAAGTTAAAGAAGTATGGGCTGGATGAATGGACTGTAAGGTGGATAGAAAGCTGGCTAGATCATTGGGCTCACCGGGTAGTGATCAATGGCTCCATGTCTAGTTGGCAGCCGGTATCAAGTGGTATCAAGTGGAGTGCCCCAAGGGTTGGTCCTGGGGCTGGTTTTGTTCAATATCTTCATTAATGATCTGGAGGATGGCATGGATGGATTACACCCTCAGCAAGTTTGCAGATGACACTAAACTGGGAGGAGTGGTAGACACACTGGAGGGTAGGGATAGGATAGAAATCTGATGAGGTTCAACCAGGACAAGTGCAGAGTCCTGCACTTAGGATGGAAGAATCTCATGCACTGCTGCAGACTAGGGACCGAGTTCTGCAGAAAAGGACCTAGGGGTTACAGTGGACAAGAAGCTGGATATGAGTCAACAGTGTGCCCTTGTTGCCAAGAAGGCTAACAGCATTTTGGGCTGTATAAGTAGGAGCATTGCCAGCAGATCGAGGGACATGATCATTCCCCTCTATTCAGCGTTGGTGAGGCCTCATCTGGAGTACTGTGTCCAGTTTTGGGCCCCACACTACAAGAAGGATGTGGAAAAATTGGAAAGAGTCCAGCGGAGGGCAACAAAAATTATTAGGGGGCTGGAGCACATGACTTATGAGGAGAGGCTGAGGGAACCGGGATTATTTAGTCTGCAGAAGAGAAGAATGAGGGGGGATTTGATAGCTGCTTTCAACTACCTGAAAGGGGGTTCCAAAGAAGATGGATATAGACTGTTCTCAGTGGTAGCAGATGACAGAACAAGGAGTAATGGTCTCAAGTTGCACTGGGGGAGGTCTAGGTTGGATATTAGGAAACACTATTTCACTAGGAGGGTGGTGAAGCACTGGAATGGGTTACCTAGGGAGGTGGTGGAATCTCTTTCCTTAGAGGTTTTTAAGGCCCGGCTTGACAAAACCCTGGCTGGGATGAGTTAGTTGGGGATTGGTCCTGCTTTGAGCAGGGGGTTGGACTAGATGACTTCCTGAGATCTCTTCCAACGCTAATATTCTATGATTCTATGACATGGGCCAGCAGCGGATGTTGAATTGCTGTGTAGACAATGCTCCTGTGCAGGGCTGAGACTAGCACAACCTTACACACACTTGACGTGCCAAGTGGTGGTAGGAAAGTAGATATGATCATGCAAAATCTCCGTATGGCCAGAGAAAAGAGGACTGTGCCACATGCTTCCTTCCAACTACATGTAAAAATCCAGAGTAAGTACAGTGCAAAATAAAGCTGGTTGAGGGTGCTTTAAAGTGCATGTGTTGGAGACAACACTGGCAGACCCTGGGCAGAGGGCAGCACAGCACAGCCTCTTGCCAAAAAGGAAGATTCTTAGAGTAGCATGTGTGTGGCTGTCCCCTGACGATGGGCAGTTGCAAAAATGCCTGTGCTCAGTACACACATGATGCACTCCCCATGGGTCAGGATTCAGTGCCAGGGCACAACAGCTATTGGGATCTACACACCAGCTGTGTGGAAGGCAGGTCTGCCCACTCTGAACCAGCCCATTTGGTAGTGCCCCCATCACTGGCCATTATCAGCATCCATCACACACTGCAGCCAGGATCACTGATGCCAGCTAGACATACCTCCTATGGCATAGAGGGCCCCAATACACGCATTCTTGGAATAGGATAACCAGGGGGTGTGCGTGTGTGTATCATATACATGGTAAGTAACATTCCTTTAAAAATTGCAGAACCATGGGATAAGCTGCTTTTATATTGCAATTTTGTCAGCCTCACCTGCCTTCTGCCCACTACTCCACCTTCACTAGAGCTATTTTAATCATTCCAAACCTGCTTAAACAATCAATTGCAAAGAAAAGACAACCCGCCAAAAATATGTTTGTCCCTGCAAACAGCAATTTCATCCCCAAATTACAATTCAGGCTCAAATTGGTCGGAGGTGTCAGAGGGGCTTTTGCCCATGCTGCACCTGTGCTGATATGTTTAAAGTTCACTATCTTGTGAGCTGTGCCAGCTGGACCTGGGAGGCATATATCCTTGGGAGGCCAGGAATTTCCTCCTTTCCAGTACAATACTGTGCTTGGTTTTAGTGCTGGAAAATCACAAGATAATGGACATTAAAACCAGACGTGACTTTTAAAAAAACTATTTTAGATACTCTTAAAGGGTTCTAAGGTATATCAGTTATCATTTTTCTTTACCTCAGCTGCCCGTACATGTTCACTATTCTATTCGTAGCAGTAAAGCAGCAGAGTTTTGTTGGGGGTGTATACCAACAACAATAAGTAAAAATACTCTAAATAACATTTCTAAAAAAAATTCCTGCCAGCTACATGTCAAAAACAAACTAATTTTCATAACAGTGTGATATAAAAGTGTTACTGGAACCCATATGAGATGACCACACAACTTACTCATGGCTCCACTACTTGTGAATAATGTAGTCACCCCAAAACGTCTGCCAATAAAACAAACATTTATACCACATTGTACCATCATGTATTTTTATCATATTAAGCATTCATATAGTCCATCTTAAATTTACACAGTGCATTACACATGCAGAAAAAGGTATGTTCTCTGCCTCAGTGAGTTGACAATTATAAAATGTAAAACAGCTCAGTTAAAACTGTAACAATGGAGTGTGAGCTTATCCAGTGGCCTGGTGGCTAGATCTTGACTAGTGGAGAGTCAGAATACATCTCCCAGTCTCCTGTCTCTCAATCCCTGGTTTACTTTGGGATTCAGTCCATGGAGAAAGACAGTGCCTCAACAGCAACCCATCCACTATTAAGAAAGGGCATTCATGGGCTCTGCAAGCAATCCTGTCCTCCTCAGCGAGGAGGGCAGTGTCTGCAATGGAAGGCCAAATGAGGGATGTGTGTCTATTCTATTAGGAGAGCATAGAAGAGACACCCTCAAAGGAAAGAAAAAAAACTGCAACAGCTTAAATTTGATCTATTAACATAGCAGATCTGGTAGGTTACATAAAACTAAACAACATTGAATTTTAGAGCAAACCCAGTCCATTATGTAGCATTATATGAACCCTGAACCACTCCAAAAGTTCATTTCCCCCCAAATTAAATTTTCAATTGCCATCAAGCAATGAAATCTGGAATAGTGCTTGAATGTTTAGACCAACCAACTTATGTTAGGTCTACCTTGAAGATCACAGACCAAAACTTCACTATAGTGATAAGTGTGTATCTGGGGGGGAGGTGCAGGGGGTAGGGCGGCGAGAGGGCGGCAAGCCCCGGCCGGGGCTCCGCACTCCCCCCGGGGGGCGGGGGGGGAGGGCCGCGGGGGGGGGGGGGGGCAGGGCGCCGGGGGGAGGGCGGCGAGCCCGGCCGTGGCCCCGCTCTCCCCGGCGGCCGGAGTGCCGCGCTGCCCCCCTCCAGGTGCCGCCCCAAGCACAAGCTTGGTGGGCTGGTGCCTGAAGCCGGCCCTGTAGCTACCTATATGTGTACTTATACACTTCTCTTGGATAGGATAGATATTTCCCCTGCATATTTAGTATTGTGTGTTACTATACTTAACCATAATGTAAAGGGAAACAGTGCACTCAAGTTTACCTGGTAGGGTAAATCAGCCATCCTTAAATAAGTTTCCATTTTCAAACAAAAAGGAGATAAACTGGGAACACCATTGTTAGGTCTTGAAAATTGATGCAGTATAATAGCATCTTTGGAATCAACCTCTTGCTCTTTCCTGGCAAAAGAAAACAGAATTAAAAGAAACCCAGATTACAGCATATGCCATATATCAATATATTAAGTGCATGAAGGAGCGAGAATGGCTGAGGCAAAACATTTTGTCCTCCCTTTAATGGGTTATTGTAATTTTTTATTCATCAAGTCTGAAATCACTAAAAAGCACTTACATTGCAGGAGCAGAATTCAGACAGGAAGCTTAGTTAATTCTATGTTGGAGAGACCAAAAAGTCTTGCAAACCTTAGGTAATAAGCCCAGGCTCATAGACTAAAATAAGCAAGCAAGCAAGCCTGAAACTCCCCTGCCTTGTGCCTCATGTAGTCACTCAGGGCTTGTCTACATGGTGCCTTAGTCCACACTAGCTGGGATGTGAATTTTAATGTGCACTAGCATGTTGCACACTACCTGGCCTGTGTGGACCCTGCTGGCACACATTAAAAGTTCCCTTGTTCTGGGTAGCATATTACTGTTTGAAATGGGACTATATTAACATGCACTGCGGAACTTTTAGTGCATGTCAGTAGGGTTCATACGAGCCAGTTAGTGTGCAGAATGCTAGTATGAACTAAAATTGACACCCAAGCTTGTGTGGACTAAGGCAGTGGTTCTCAACCCTTTTTCATTTGCGAACCCCTAAAAAATTTCAGATGGAGGTGAAGATGTCTTTGGAAATTTCAAATGGAGGTGCAGGCCCCTTTGGAAATATATCGTCTACATATATAATTGAATTCTGTTTTCAGTCTAAGTCTTTCACGGACCCCTTAGACAGAGTGAGTGTAAAATGCTCCGACTTTGTTGTGGTAGGGGTTTTCAGCCACTCTGCACAGTTATAAATGACAACACAAGGGGTGAGGCAATGGAAAAATCAGGCCCTGCAAATCTACTTCCTTCAGTTAAGGGCTTTAAAGAAAAGAGAGGCTCTCTTGAAGAACATGAACAACTCAAGCATAGTTCCAGCTCTCCTATCCCCACTTCCAGACTCAGAAATGCCATTCACCTCCACTGTCTGTAAACTTGTCATTACCCTTGGCCTTGTTCTCTGTTCTTTGTATCTCCTCCCGTTGTACATGTGTCCATTACCACCTCTGCACTTGACTGCCTTGACTCCACCCTGTGGAAGCCTTCACCACTTCTCGTCTCAACTATTTTAACTCTCATCTCTATGGCTTCTCAAGATCCGTATTCTCCTAACTCCAGAATATCCAGGAGACTGCTGCTTGCCTTCTCCCATCTACAAAGATTCATGGTCACATCACCCCTGCTGTCAAACAACTCCAATGGCTATTCATTCATTTCAGGATCCAGTTCAAAATGTCCCATTCATGGTTCTCAAAGCCCACCATGGACTTGCTCCAATCTACCTCCTGGACTTGGGACCAAACTTTTGCTCTCAATTACACTGAGGCAAATCAAGAGGATTCCAAAGGATTTACACTAGTGTAACCGAGAGCAGAATTTGACCCAAGCTCCATGAGATCCATCAAAGTCAATGTGGCTGTACAGGTGTAAAACTGGAGCAAGTCAAAGGAGTAAGAAGGCCCATTGTCTCTTATGCACACTCCTGCACCTCTGGCACTTGTCTAGCACTGGCCTCTTATCTGTGCCTTCACACAAATTTGCAACTGCTAGTGTAAAAGCCATCTGCTCTGATGCTTCTGCCATCTCAAACAGTGTTTCAGTTTCCATCCACCTCATCCAGTCTTCATCTCTGTTGATTTCTTATCTAAAAACATATCTGTTCTTCTTTGCTCTGGCCTGTAAATTTCTCTTACAGTAACTGCCTTTGGTTATTGACTTTAAGGGAGATTTTCATAGGCACATGTGTCAAAGGGAGTGAGGTGCTTACTGGCTCTTTATGCCTTTGGAAATCACCCCCTTTATGACTCCAGGCCTTAACTGAATCATCACACACTATCTTGATACAATACATTGTGTTGAATAGTTTCAGTCCGTGAAGCATTTGGGATATATTGTCCATGAAAGATGCTGTACAGCATAGGGTTGCACTGCACATCACAGACAGCAGCCCGTGCAGTTTTGGTTAGCATGATGATGATGATTTTAATCTCTCAAAAATGAGCTCTGAACTGCCAGAGATTATATTAGTTTGCTTTGCTTTTAAAATTTGGCCACTAGCAATTGCAATTTGACTGCCAAATTTTACACATTTTAAAATGTCTGATTTTAAATCATTTAATACATTCATAGTATCCCTTTATATACTGTACATATTGAAACATTCAAACACAGATTTAACATTACTAATAGCCTGTGCAGATGGCACATATTTGCTGAACCAGTAAATCACATCTACACATTTCTCCAGAAAATTTAATATCTTTTAAAATATAGCTACGTGAAGTAATTTCATTCTGTAAATCTCTCCTAAGAATAGAGGCAAGATAATCTACGAAATTTAAATGATAAAAACATCCCTGAATTCAAGTATTTTCCAAGAATTATGTTTATACAGTTATTTATTGTAAGCTGAATGAAAATAAGCGCATAAAATATATAAGGCAAATATATCTTTCAGTGCTAGTGTTATTAAAAGGTTATCAATGGCAACATTATCTTTGTTTACCTTATGTTGTGCATGGCAGCTCATTAGTACAGGGCTACTTTGATCCTTTATTTCTTTGAAAATGTTGTATCCAGAAATAACTTCTGTGTTTTGCCATTGTTTACATTACACAAACAGCTGTCTTGTGCAATGATCATAGTAACCATTTAGGACCCAGTTATGCAGTCCTCACTGAAATCAATGAGAGACTTAGCTGAGTAAGAAGGGCAGGTTGGGGCCCATAGTGGTCTGAAGTTCATCTCCATTCCATTTTCATAATGTTAGTCTCCACCATACTTCTATGGTGTACATATATCAAATCCCCTGAGATTGTTCTCACTGATTTCTTTAAAACAGTGTACTAGTAATATATCACCTCTGTTGTGGACAGTATATTTCCAGGTACATCCTTGGGAAATCAGTAGTTAAAGCCACCATTTTCTGAGATGATTTACTATCCTTGTAAACAAACTGCAGCACCATATGCAACTGTTTACTTCAGATCTCAGTCTATGACAAACATACTCCTGTGTCTATTCCTGCTCTCATGCTCCCTATTACTCACACCATTATGAAGCTAGAGATCATAACCAGACACAATACTACATTGAAAACAATTGTGGCTTCTTCTTATTTCCAAGAGATCTTGTATAACCAGTTGATGCTGCATCATTTTAAATATGCATTTTCATATTAGATTTTTGAGCAACCCCAAAAAAGCACTGACCAGTATGTTTAATTTGATGCTGAGGTTTATTATGCAGAGTTGTCTTATTTAAACATACTGGTAGTTTGGGTGAAGATGGTTTAATACATGATGATCTATTAAACAATTTTTTGCAAAGCAGCTAAAATGGCAAGATCTAAGAGTAAGGTGGGTCCATAATGAAGGTAGTTCTTGTTTTAAAGCCCACTGGTTTAATTCTGAGCCCTGTCCTTAAAACACAGGCCAGACAAGTCAGATGTTTCCAGATAAGGCTAAAACTATCTCTGAAAAGTGCCCTGTGGTTGACTCCCCTAGAATCTATGACACTTGGGTTTTAAGAATGATGTATCTACTGGTGTGACATTAATCCTTACAGAGCTGAAGCTCTGAAATGCCCAGTAAACACAAATAATTACAAAAGACTCCTGATTTCTGCCTTGCTCGTTGTTATTGTGTCAGTTTCTCAAGGGGTGAAGTCGAGTACAATGCATTCCCATCAGATCAGAACTGCCTTATTATTTCCTATTCCCATTGCAGCGTCTATTCCAAATACTCCCTGCTGCAGCCTGCCCCAGGCTCTCTCTCCCTGTCTCTCACCTAATTGCCAGGAGTTCATGTAGCAGATACGCCGCGGCAGCGAGCAGGGCTCCCCCAGTCAAATAAAGGGTTTTCTTCCACCACGAATCAGAACCCAGCCCTGCCATCATCCCACCGTAATCCTGCCAAGGGAAAGCGATGATGTCCCCATAAAAGGAGAAGTGCTCTTCGGATCCTGCACACCAGCCGAGGGTGAGGCTCTGATTCCGGCTCAGCTCAACCACACAGGACCTGGAGGAGGCAAACCCAACACCCCAGTGCATGCTGCGCGTTGCCTGCCGCTCCCTTTCCCCTCGCCGCTCGCCAGGGCAGTCTGCATGGGCAAGGGCTGCTCTGGAGCCAGCCGGCACGCTCGGCTTAGCAGCGGGCCAGGAGGGGATGGAGCAGCGGTGCTGGGTCTCCGTGGTGATCTCTGCAGCAGCCTCCTTCTGCAGCTGCCTCTCGCCTTTGTCTCTTCGCATCGAGGAGCCTGGGTGATGTCATTGCTCCTGGGAGCGTCAAAATACCGGGGCACTAAAAATCACACCGCTCTCTCCTGTCCCCTTCCTGTCCTCCCCCACCGATAGCCTCTTCCGAAAAGCAACCGTTCTCTCCCCATCAGCGCGGGCTAGGGAAGGGCACAGGAAAAGGGCAAAACTCCCCTCGTGCTAAAGGGACATGCTGGCATTTGCTACTAGGCGGAGGGGGGAGGATCCAGATTAATGGCTGGATTGGAAAGATTTACTCTCCAGGGGGAGGAAGCAGCTTTCTGCTCTGATAGCTAATTTCCCCCCGAAGCTATAAATTACATTACACAGTTAGCCTGGACCAGGTCATGTGTTTAGGCTTTAGCTTGAGAAAATGGAAATCAACCATTGTTGTGTGTTTTATCTGGTAAACAAACCTGACTGCAATCTACCCTCGTTTGGGTTGTATTAAAACGGCAGTAAAGATCTGCCAGTTGCATTCCTACCCTTGCAGTGTGCATTGGAACAGGTAGCAAAGCTAGGGTGGTTTTTTTTTAAATGTTAAATACCTCCCAATAAGTGTGCGAGATGGGCATCTAGCATAATTGCACCTCTTGCCATGTATGAAGAACCATGTCATTTATAAACATATAGCAGGGAATTCTGAATGGCCAGCTGTGCCATTCTGTAGAATCATAGGAATGACCTATTTTGTAGGTGCAGCTGTGGATAAATCTGTGCATAGTAGGAATACATGCAGATTTTGTGAATGCCGTTTAGACAACTGTGTCTAAAACTCTGGGGTGAAATCCTGGACCCACTGAAATCACTGCATGTTGCACATCTAGTCTTTCATTGCTGTTTAAGTCCATCATTTAAAACATCAATGGTTATACAACACAGTCACAGAGTTTAAGGCCAGACAGGACCACCACATCATCTAGTCCGGCCTTCTGAGCCAGAAGTGAGCCCTGCACCCTACCATCACAAGCAACCCCCACCATACAATTACACTCATAAATGTGTCCAGCTCTCATTTAAAACTAATTAAGTTTTTTGCCCCTCCCCCTCCTATTGGGAGGCTGTTCCAGAACCACACCTCTCTGATGTTCCCTTGGTGTTCACACCTCAACTGCTAGCAGAGCACCTCACCCTCCCTGACTGAACTAACCTCGTTATCTCCATACTGATTTATACCTGCCTCTGGAGATTTCCATTACTTGCATCTGAAGAAGTGAGGTTCTAACCCACGAAAGCTTATGCTCCCAATACTTCTGTTAGTCTTAAAGGTGCCACAGGACCCTCTGTTGCTTTTTACAGATTCAGACTAACACGGCTACCCCTCTGATACTTGACACCTCTCTGATGGTTAGATACCTTTTGATTTTCAGCCTGAATTTTTTCATGGCCAGTTTATATCCACTTGGTCTTGTGCTAACATTGTCCATAGGCTTAAGTAGCTCTTCACCATCCCTAGTATTAACTCCCCCTAATATATTTATAAAGAGCAATCATATCCCTTTTCAACCTTCTTTTTGTTAGACTAAACAAACCAAGCTCTTCCAGTCTGCTCTCATAAGATAGGCCCTTCTTTCCCCTGATCATCCTAGTAGCTCTTCTCTGCACCTGTTTCAGTTTAAATTCATCTTTCTTGAACACAGGTGACCAGAATTGTACACAGTATTTCAGATGAGGTCTTACCAGTGCCTTTTACAATGGCATTATTACTTCTCTCTCTCTACTGGAAATACCTCTAATACATCCTAGGATAGCATTTGCCTTTTTTTCATAACTACATCACATTGCTGGCTCATACTCATCCTGTTAGCAACCTACACACCCAGGTCTCTCTCCTGCTCTGTAACTTCCAAATGATGAGCCCCAAGCTAGCAGCATAAGTTCTTATTATTAGACCCTAAGTAAATGACCTAGCATTTTGTACTATTGAATTTCATTTAATTTCTGTCACTCCCATCTTCAAGGTCACTCAAATCTTCCTGTATAATATTCCGATCCTCCTCTCTATTGACAATGCCTCCCAACTTTGTATCATCAGCCAATTTCATGAGCACTCTCCTGATTTTTGTGCCAAGGTCATTAATAGAAATATTGAATAAGACTGGTCCTAAGACCGATCCTTGAGGAACTCCACTAGTAACCTCCTTCCAGTCTGATAATTCACCTTTCAGCACAACCCGTTGCCTTCTCTCCTTTAACCAATTCCTAATCCACTTTACAATGCTTGTACTGATCCTCATCTTCCCCAGTTTAACTAATAACTTCCCATGTGCTACGGTGTCAGATGATTTACTGAAGTCCAAGTATCAGAGGGGTAGCCGTGTTAGTCTGAATCTGTAAAAAGCAACAGAAGGTCCTGTGGCACCTTTAAGACTAACAGAAGTATTGGGAGCATAAGCTTTCATGGATAAGAACCTCACTTCTTCAGATGCAAGTAAAGTGAAGAAGTGAGGTTCTTACCCACAAAAGCTTATGCTCCCAATACTTCTGTTAGTCTTAAAGGTGCCACAGGACCCTCTGTTGCTTTTTACTGAAGTCCAAGTACATTAGACCTACCGCACTTCCCTCATCAAAAAAATCAGTTATTTTCTAAAAGAATGTTTCTTAGTATTCGGTTGCTCTCCACTTTCTCCACAAAGGATCTGGGATCCCAAGCCTCTACTATTCAACTCCAGCTGGTCACATGATACCATACCATAAAATTGTGGTACCTGGATTTATTAAAAAAAACACTTATGATCAATTTAGAATATACCAGTTCTAATTTTTCTGTCACTTCGAGGCTTGCACATGGTAACTAAGAAACATGAGTTTAAAAGGCCAAAGGATACAAAAATAGTCTCAATATAATTTTAAAACTAAAAAGTGTTCTAGAATAACTCTTTTCTGCAATATGATACAAAAAAAAATACAAAGTACCATAAGGTGGTATAGAGATTTTACTGTCACTCATTCGGGATGATCTGTATAGATCTCCTGTAACTTTAAACTAGGGCTGTCAAGCGATTAAAAAAATTATTCGCGATTAATTGCACAATTAATCGCACTGTTAAACAATAAGAGAATATCATTTATTTAAATATTTTTGGATGTTTTCTACATTTTCAAATATATTGATTTCAATTACAACACAGAATACAAAGTGTATAGTGCTCACTTAATATTTATTTTTGCACTGTATTTGCACTGTAAAAAAACAAAAGAAATAGTATTTTTCAATTCACTTCATACAAGTACTGTATTTTGGAGGCTTTTTCTACTCTCCAGGGATAATACTAAATCTTTATCCAACCAGGATAGTAACAATATTAATGAACTACATTATTATGAGAAGGGAAGAGACATCAAACTGTAGACATTTTTACTTTGCTAGATGACTTCTTGTGACCATATCTGGTTTGTGGGTTAAAGAAGTTTCAGTACCACATAATCTAGAATGTGTCAGTTAAATACTATCATTTTGACTCGAATGTGAGTAAGATGGTCATTGCAAGAAGTGATCTAGAAAGGGTTTCTTCTACAGTTACAGGCAAACTGCAAAATTAACAATAAAATGGAGTCAAGATTAGAAATAATTAATAACATTTATTAAACACAGATTCACATGTTCAAAGCACTTCACAACTAATTAAGCACTCCTCACACCACTCATGTGAGTGTTATCAGCCCTATTCTGCAGAGGGGGAACCTGAAGCCAGGGCCGACTCCAGGGTTTTTGCCGCCTCAAGCGGCAGGGGAAAAAAAAAAAAAAAAAAGCCGCGATCGCGATCGGCTGCAGCTCCACCGCGCTGCGGCAATTCGGCGACAGGTCTTTCCCTCCGAGAGGGACCGAGGCACCCGCCGCCGAATTGTTGCCCAAGAGCCCGACGTGCCGCCCCTTCCCCTTGGCCGCCCCAAGCACCTGCTTACTGGGCTGGTGTCTGGAGCCGGCACTGCCTGAAGCAATAAGATGGATGTGACCTGACCAAGGCCACAGACTGAGCCAGTGACAGAGCTAGGATTGGCATTCATGGCCATCTGATTACCAACACTGTACTTGAACCAGGCTGTGGGTGAATTTAGCATTACAATGAGCTGTGGATAAGGCACTGGACTGGGACTCAAGAGATGTAAACTATATTCCTGGATCTGCTACAGACTTCCTTTGTGACCCTGGAAAAGACACTTGACTATGCATCAGTTCCTTAACTGTAAAATGGGGATGGTAATAATACAGGATGTTACATTGGTAAATTCATGAATTTATGTCAGGGGCTAAGATGCTGTGGTAACAAGGCCACAGAAATGCCTACACATTCTTTTCTGCCCCTAAGAAATCCTCTGATACTCCTTAGCTTGCCCAAGACTTTCTAGCTTGCCCAAGGTGCATCACTCTGCAGCAGCATTGGACTAGAAAAGTCATGCAACCCACAAGAGCTGTGAAATCTCTGATAGCAAAAATGAATGTTAGGATGCCTTTCCCAAACCAGGATGTTCAAAAAGATTTCACAGAATGGGAAAGTAAACTTCTTAAAGGTAAGTTAAAACTTAGCTGCTAAATGACCCCACACCATAGTGGTGGGGGCAGATAGAACAAATTTCTTTGTTTAACTCAAATTTCATTTTAGGGTTACAGTTCACCTTTAAATAATGTGTGTTCATTTTATGTTTGCAGTCTTGTTGTAGTTGTGTTGGTCCCAGGATATTAGAGAGGTGGGTGTGGTAATATCTTTTATTGGATCAACTTCTGTTGGTGAGAGAGACATGCTTTTGAGCTTACATAGAGCTCTTCTTCAGGTCTGGGAAACTAACTCAGAGTG